TAAAAAAATTAAAAATAAAACATTTTTTTTAATAATTTAAAAAAAATAAAAATAAAAAAATAAAAAAAACCACAGTGATGACAAACTAGAGCTAGAGAGCATTTAGTAAAAACCAAAGCGTTAGGTAACATAGGCTGTATTCACATACTGTGGCATACAACAGAAAATAAAGAAGTTAGAAAATGTCAATGCTATGTCACTTAAACGCTGAGCTCTTCTTCCCACTTGCATAAATCTCTCGCAGACTAACTACAGTACCTAAAACCAGTTTGCTCATCAGGTTTTCAATGAACTCTGTCATTCAAGCTAGCCTATAAGAACTGTAAGATTACATTTAATTTAAAGATAAATTAATAAGTAAAGAGCTGTCCAAACTTACAAAATGCAAGTAATAAGACAGTGTAATATTTTTGTGTGGAACACATGGTAATTTCCTCGAGCATTTATAATATCATATAACACAAGTAACAAACATTTGGATTAAAAACGGTGACAGTTTTGAAAAGAAATTGTTATAAATCTCAGTGATGCTCCATTTCAGACATGCTATTTATACATATACAACTATCCTGAAAACATCTTGTGTCACTTGAGATCTTTGAGTGCCAAAAGAGATTTCTCGTCACAGTATTTTAATTGTTTTGGAGAAAAGAGACAAGTCTATTACCTGGTCAAATCATTTTTACCATGGATATAGTGATCAGTATGGCCAAGGTGATGGTGATCCTGTGTATTCCATCGCTGGTGTGGTGCTCTTTTCCAGAATCCTTCCTGATGTTGCCTAGCATTTCTGTCTTGTCTATCATAACGGCTCATATTTTCACATTCCTCTACAGAGAGCATAAACCCCCAAAAAATTATTAAATTTGTTCCCAAGACCTTGCAAATAAAATATTTACTAGGGTAACAGATGCAGTGTAAAAATCTATGGAGTTTTATTTTTTTAAACTGATCCAAAAAAGCATGCCTTTTAGAACTGTGAACTACAGAAGCAGACTTCTGTAATGAAGTCACATTTTTACAAGCATATAAGCTTGTCACAAGAATAAGAGTAATCTGTAGCAGAAACTACAGAATTCTGCCTTAACAGTATTTCCAGTTTAAGTAGAAAATCATTTGGAGCAGGTAGAACTATGAGGAAGAAAAAAAGAAAATCAAGAAGTGACATTTTCCTGTCTTTCTTACTGACAGGCCTTTAAAACCTCAAGCTCACAAACACAGAAATACAGCATTTTAGAAAAGGGCCAGTACTTCATTTCAAAACAGAACAGTTTCATTACTTAAAATACATACATATCTCATCCTGTTCATCTTGTTTGTTTTTCAACTTGAGAGACACGTCATTTTTATTTACCTGGATAACAAGCATTATTTACAACAAGCAAACAAAATAATCTCTACAAAACACTAGCTTCTGCAAAGCAGAGCAGGTTCCACAAATTTAAGGGAAAAAAAGCTATATTTGGCCATAGCTTGTAAACCACTAGAAACAAAGCCAAAAAACTCCTATCCAGGCAGTCAGACACAGCAAGGAAGGTCATAAACTGCTATTCTGCCATTACACTTTCTCCTTCACTTACCCAAGGAGTTTTTCCTCGCATTGTCAGTCCTTTTCTAGGAGAAAAACTCTACACAAGAGAGCATTGTTTTATTCAGCTGCCTACTCGGACATAGCTGCGCACAAGACGCTCACAAACAGGCCTTCCTTCCTGCTTAGTTCCCAGCCTGCGTGTTGTTGGGAAGTGAGCCCAGTTTTACCCTGTGATTTAAAACTGCCATCCTCGCTCACTGCATACTTGTTGAGCTAGAACTGTTTCTATAAATAGTGTCCAAGCGGCATCCCAGACTCCAAAGTGAAACAAGGAGAGTTTCTGTAGACCTGGAAAGTCTTAAGAGGCTGAAGTCAGTGAAGTCACACATAACTAAGAGAAAAGTGTTGGCAAAAAGTGCTGCTAAATATTATTGTAACAAATACTCATATCTACAATTCAGTTTTTACCTAACTTTTTGTTATTGAACTAGTTGGTAGGAAAATAAACTTGTTCATCTAAAACCAGATTTATTTTCTTTTAGAAGTATCCATCCTTTTCTATTCAAAAATAAACCTTCAATAGGTTTATAAGTAATTTTATTATGATGATTTTCAGCTTTGGAAAAATGAAATGGAGACACTGAGTAAAGACACATGGATATTAACAGAGAAAAAATTTTGCTTTTTCAAGTGGTCTTGTCTAATTTAACAGAAAGCCTGGAGGTGGCTTTTGAATTATTTTTTTCAGATCCTTTTTGATAAAAATTCAGTAATTTCAAGATAAGAAGCAATTTTAGCAGAGATACCCAGTTTATGCCACATTAATTTTATATGGAAACGTAAGTTTTAAAAAAATACAAAAAATAATAGTAAATACCTAATATTGATCTCAAACAGTAAGTTTCTCCTCCTGAATCAGCAGCTTAAACAGCAGATTTTCATAGCCACAAAACATATTCCAGCTACACAAACATTAGTGACACTTAGCTGTAGAATGTGAGTAGATTTAAGTTTATCATATTGATGCAATTAAGAAAGCAATGAATTAAAAATCATATTTCATTTGTGTCTAGGTTAAATTGCAAACATTATCTTTTTAATGGTTTTGTGGCAAACATTCACCTTTAAAATGCATGTATTCGTAACAGTTTTTGAATTAATAATTTGAAATTGAATTACTGGTGCAGATGCAGTGCATGTTTTCTAAACAAGGAAACTTACGAGAAATTGATCTACTCTTTAAAATTATTTCTTAATTGTTCCCAACAGAATTAGAATTACCCTTATTGAAAGAATACCCCCTAGGCTTGGATTGTTATCTGTTCTGGAAAATTTAAAAAGTAACAAATAAAAATTGTACACCTATCTGGACTGAAAAGTTGAATATTAGCACTTTTGTCAATAAGAGCCTTTCACATGAGTACTTTGTTTTTGGAAAAACTTATTCTCAGATTCAAAAGATTAAGTACTACACTTCATATGTGCACACTGTTAAAAAGTGATGCACCACCACTGTGGCAGATGGAGACTAGGTATTTATTTACTGTTAATCTGGCTTCATATCTAACATACACGCAGGAATCTTCACCCAAAGAACTCAAAGGTGCTCTCAAAAAAACCTGAATTTCACCAAACTTCATCAGGCAGCTGAGCAGTACACAAAACAAGGAAAGCCTTTTTTCTTTTAGTGCCTGTTTGTACAGGGTAGGGCACTACAGTGCTCCACATTCAGTGTTTCTGTTCATTTGAAGATAATTAGCCTCCACTGAACTTGGAGGTAAAGCTAATACCCATTTTCACACAACAGTGACAATTCTTATGATTAGGTCAGGAATGACCAAAAGAACATGCCTCTAACTTTTCCAGGCCAGGACTTCAGAAAAGGTGGCAATAGCTTGCCTTACCTAGTTCATTTTAGTCTGGATTTGCATTATTTTAGTGGCATCTAGGTACCACTACCCTCCCTGAGAAAAGTTTGCCAGCATCCTCACTGACAAGAGTGCACAAAAGACATTCTGATAAAAACACATCTTAAATCCTAAGGCTTCTGTTACCCTGGACTGTATAAGGAGATATTGTATTAGGAGATATTGTCATTTCGTAGAAGAAAATTAATAATCTCAAGAAAAATTACACTGGCATTCATCAAGGCTGAAAACATGGTGTTCTAACATTCTCAAATACAGGTGAAGCATAAGACTGAAGGACCAACTTAAAAGTTTGAAATTTATACTACTAAAATAATTTAAAGAAACAAACAGCATGCAACAAGGTTCTATTTTTATAAAAGGCAGTAAATTTCTAACTTTAGAATTCTCCAAATGCAAGAGTTGTAGAACAGAAATATCATGCTTCCTAAATTTTAGAAGACAGAGTTGTTACTTAAAGAAAAAGCAATTTGAAGAGTTCACTGACTTATTAAAGCAGAAGTCAGAACAATGAAACTCAAATGTCTCTTAGGCCCATAATGCAGTTTTACAATAAGATTGCTTGGCTAATTTACTAACCTTTCTCATGAGGAGGGTCCTCAGGCAAGTCCACATCAAGCATGAGATCATCATCTTCAAGATCACATGAATCAAGATTATTCAAGATATCCTGCAAGTAAGGAAATGTAAGATACAACTGCTTTCATGATATTTCATTTACCATACTGTCATAAAAAGGTTAATTCAAAGCTTTGTTACATTTCTATTGTATACATATCCAACAATACCAGCAGCCTTCTCTCTTTAGAGGCCAAGATCGATCTTACTTGAGACCATCTATACAAACAATCATCACACCTCTAGAAATATGATACAATAACAGTTCTAGATGAAATAAATATGGATCAAAACATTTTTCTGCCCGATGCCTATGGAATACTCCAAAGATTTTTCTATTCATTCATATCCTGCCTTCTCCCCAATTGGAAGCATTTTAAAACTAAATTACTTTCCTCACTCAGAATTCAAAACCAGCTTTGTGGAGAGAAGATGTTAAATCACCTTACTTTACCTCTCATATCTTAATATCATAACATCACTTAAAGGAAGTGGTGGGAACCTAGGTAATCTTGACTTTTTGGGCCAACAAAACTTAAACTATGCTATTATCAGCATTAGGCTCTATTGCCTATTGTCTTTAAGTTTATGGTTCATATAAATGTGTTTCTAAAGCAACTAACAAACCCATGTTGCATGGGTGTGCTAATAGTACAAGAAAAATGCAATGAAGTCTTAGTACTAAATGGAATGATATATACAGTCAGCGAGGTATATTAAAGAAAAAGAATTGTAGTGTGGTCAAGTCAAGTCAGTGTTAAGACAGAACATGACCCCTCTTTGATTAAGAATACCAATAGTAAAAAAAACTGAAGAGGTCAAGGCTGTAGAATATGCAGCTTACTGAGCAGTCAGAGGCTGGTAGCACTATGCTACTTAAAAGCCACATCAGGCACCAAAGTGCAGTACTTGAACAGAGAACCCAGACTTTGTTTTACATCAGTATTCAAAGAAAGGTAAACTCATTAATACCAAGTGATTCTAACACAAAACAGATCTAAGGAAACTGCTAATGGTTATACAGCTCTAACTCCTGAGTTCTATTTTCCCATATCCCACAAGCAAAAGCCATAGCTTTAAGCCCCAAGGTCACACTCAGGCACTCCACATCTGCCTCTTTTCTAAGAAAAAAAAGATTTTTCTTAGGTTTAACAGCTACATCTGAAGATGATTCATTGGACCAATATTGAAAAATTTACCAAATATTAAGTAAAATAAGCTTTTTATTGATTTCTCATTGGATATTAATGTTATAATTAACTACTTAACCGAATATGTGCATACAGACTATCAATACACTGCAAACCAATATTCACTTGGAAAGCTAACCCTTTGCTGGCTACCATTTGTTAAATTCACTTTGTCAGAGACTGAAAAGGAAGAACACTAAAAGCCGTTTTTCTAAACTGTCACTCCAACTGCTCTTCAGCAGTCTTCCTATAGTGTTCACTAAGGACTACTGTATTTGATTACAAATAGTGGAAAAAGCTAAGTATATTTTAAGATTTTTTTTTTTTTTGCAACACGGAACATTAAACATTCTACATTTGTGCAGGCGAAGTTATTTATTGACTTAGGAGGAAGGGTATAAGACGAAAATAGTTAACGTGCACTTTGTAAAACATGAGCAATATAAAGGAAAGATGGGATACTTGAGACAGAACCACCTGGTTTTGTTATATTTCAAAGTCCTACCTGAATAATTTTGTGTACACATGGTATTCTAATTATTTACAATAAAAAAATAGAAAAAGCTACATATCAAGACATTGTGAACAATAATAAAATCAGCTATGGAAAAGCTTCACAGAGAAATGGAAGCCATGTAAAGGAAATGTGGATTTAACATTTGGGACCCCAAACTGCCTGTATATATTTCCTTGGTTTTGTTTCCATTAATTTACATTTCTTCATGAACTAGATGATTTTTCACTAATATGTATTTTTTAAGCCATTTTCTGATCTTCCAAATTAGTATGAACAAGCATTCTTTTCTTCTACTGTGGGAACCTTAATAAGCACGACAAATACATTTCAAACTGTGGCCACAAACATAAGAAAGTTGAAAATGTCTGTCACTGCTGTGCAAAAGCATTAGCAAAAGTACAACAAAAAAATGTGGTATGTCAGTGTTAAATAATAAACCCAGATAAGCCACTTTACTGTCTTTGTATCAGAACTTCAGAAATCTAATGATGTCCGAGAAGGTCAGCATTTGAGATGCCAAACATACTTTTCTGTCAACAGCACATTTCATTATGTTTCCCTAATTATACATTCCTGCACCGCACTGAGGCGACTCCATGCTAGAAAACCCACTGCGAATATGAAGTCTTTGCAACAGTTGGCTACATGTGAACGCACTTAGAGGATTTCCCAATGCTATCTACTTTGGAAACATAATATGAAAGTAGATGTCAGTCATGTCATCTTGAAATAGCTGTAAGATAAAGTGCAGGTTTCATCAACACATTAGTACATATAAAACCTATATTTACAGGCTTCCAGGAAAAGTATCAGGAGAGAAACAGATGGTTTATGACTACTGATATGAGAACTGAGTAAGCTGAGAACCCCAAAAGCACGGAACACTCATATTGCATAAGAAGATGGGAAAAGACTAAGTAGAGGGGCAAGGGTAAAGCTGATGAACAATTATACTGCATTTAGCAAGTATACAACGCAATGTTCTGCAAAGTCTTTCTGTAGTGATTGCCTTCAGATGCTATGTCTTACCAAAGGTTAAACAAACACACACCAATAGCTCACCTACAACAGCCTGGATTTTTTGCCTAATTTGTTGTATGCATAGAGTTCAGAATCTCTTTTTCAAGAGGAATTATAATATTAAGTTCTTAAGACCATTGCTTTGAAGATTGGGGTATTGTTGAGCAGCTGCTTTTGCTGAACAAGTTCAATAGAAACTCACATCCATCATAGTGAAATGAAGTAAAATGTTCTGTTTCTAAAAATTCCTCATGCTACATACATCATAAACTCTCTCTCCCACTGAAGAGCAGTATTTTTCTGCTCACCAACTTAAGTTCAATTTAGCTTAGCACGTAGCCCTAGGCAATAGGCCTGATTCTCAGCTTTCCCATTTCTTGAGCTAAGTATATAATGTAACTCAAAATAAATTACAATGTGCCCAAATTAGAAGAATAGATGTCTGTTTCCTCCCTATTAAAAGCAAAAGATGTGGACCAGTGACAGCTTATGACACAATGTATATTGCACTGGAATTAAAAAAAAAGGAAGAAGTCAGACATTGCAGTTAGTGCAGAAATGTGAGGCAACTCCAGATGAGCAACCTTCAGTCAAATAATTTTGGAGAGAGTACACAGAATTTAGAAGAGCCTGAGCTCAAACTGCCAATTCAGTACCCTTGTCTTCATCCAAGGTATGCTATCTTGCTTGCAAAGCAATTGCATTGAGGTAGTCATGAACTGTTGGCGAATATTTAGGAACAACGTTTTAGTTTTCCACAATTCAAGCTCTCAGACCTCGTTCATTTGTTCTACCGTCAGAAAATAGTCTATTAAAGGAAAGTAACTAATAATTTTTGTAAATGATTTAGTGAGTTAGGTCTTGGTTCCAATAATAATTATACACTTCTGAAGTCAGTGCAAAATGGAAGTAAAATCTCACATGCAATTTAAGTATTCCATAGTGATTACTTAAACTGAATACATATACAAATTTCTTCAGTCTGATTTGCTCTACATGCTGATATTTTTAAACCTATATGCACAATTTCTTCTTGCTCAAAAAAGACCATAAAAACAACACACGTATATCATTTAACACAAAAGATGACAACCCCTTAAAAGCTTCAAATAACAAAAATATTAAAGGATGGATATCAAAACTTTGGGGAGAAAAATTAAACTATGGAAAGCACATCTACAAGCTCAAAATTTGTCAGCAAAAGATCATGGGTCATCTATAGCATCAGTATAGAAAAACCTTTCTGGTAGGCCTAGTTTTGATTTAGTACTCACATAATTCTTTCCCAGGTTACTGACAATACTTTTATAGAAGCTTTATCTGACATTAAACTAATCTAATTTAGTAAAAACTTTACTGTTAAATCTGGTTGGATGTTATGAAAGGTAAACATGCTAGACTATTTCCAGTACGTATTTTAAAAGTTGTTTACTTAAAGAACATAGCAGTAATTACAGGGTACTTTGTTGAATGGCAGCATATTATAGCACATTCCATGTATTTAGTTACACTTTAATCTCTTCGTACAAACAATTCATTAGCTTACAATCAGACTTCAGAGCTGTAGTTAGTTATTCTTACAGGACCATGCTGCATTCCTTTTGACAAAAATGTATTAGAGCAAGCATCAGAAATAACCACTACGAAATCAAGGTTATTTTATGACTTCCATTAGTTGAAGGTGCTTTACTTACTTTAAACTTTGTTAGCCTTTACGGACAAATTTTAGGGTCAATTTTTGTACACCTACCTCAAACCAATTTCCAGTTTTCAGTGAGTAAACAGTTTCTCAGAAACTGTTAAACAACGAAGCAAAGTCATTTGTCCACATAAAATTTTTTCTTCAGCTTTTATGTTGAAAAGATCTTATGAACACATATTGGAAGAAAGTATGACATTTAAATTTCTCTGACAGCTCTCCAAAATTGAGATCCCAGTTTGGGCCAGATTTGGGCCTGGATAACAAACTTACAAACTACTGAAAAACAAATCAATACATCAGAGCAATTTAAGAATTGGTTTAAAGAATGACATTTAAATCATCCTGAAAATAAAATTTTTAAAAAAATCGTAAATAAAAAGCCCTCTGAATAGAACTCTATCAGAATCTCCAAAATACCAGAATTCCTTTTATAGGTCTTCTGGATAATTACCATGAGAAAAGCATTTAAAAAATACAATTTTAAATGAAAAAAAGTCTTAGAAGAAATATCATCTCCATATTACAACACACTTTCCCGTAAACTTAGAAAAGCAATTGTCAAAATCACTAAATAATTTAAAGCAGACACATGTCCTTGTGACATTCCACAGAAAAAAAAAAAA